ATGTCTATATGGTGACACTCAGAAAAAATAAAGTGAATCAAGTAAAGGCGTGAAATCACTGTGCATGAGTTAAAGCACATTTAACACCCCCTGGCTCCTCACATGACCCTGTGGATGCTCTCATTCAGGAGTAAAGTGTAGTCTTATGCTTGGACTACACTTAAAAGTTATATCAGCATAGCTATAGCAGTCAAGGGTTGAAAAAAACCAAACAGATACCAACCAGCATAACTATGCTGACAAAAATCCTCGTGTAGATGCAGCTGTGTTGACAGAAAAGCGCTTCCATGGATGTAACTATTGTCATTCAGGGAGGTGGTGTTCCGACAATGACAGAGAAACTGTCATCATAGGCGGCACCGACACAAGGGGTCTATGACGGCACACGGTCTGTAGTGTAGATGTAGCTTTAGTGCAGCATAAGAGTGCTTACATGAGGAGTTAGTGCAGAATAGCTTTGCACTTTAAATTCACATCTTAACCATTTCTCATTAACTTTCCTGCAACTTACCTGTGTAGACAAGCCCCAAATCGTAACTGATCTATTGAAACCTTATTCCGAAATAGGTGTAACAGCAACAAAGTGGGGAAGTCTGTTTATGGAACACCAACAGGTTTATTGCCTGACAGATGTTTTTAAGAAGTTATTCAAAAGTATTCCTGCAGATTTCAGAGTGGCAGCCGTGTTAAGTCTGTATTCGCAAAAAGAACAGGAGTACTTGTGGCACCTTAGAGACTAACAAATTTATTTGAGCATAAGCTTTCGTGAGCTACAGCTCACTTCAAAAGTATTCCTGATACTGTTTGCAAATGTTTGTGTTTGTATTACTTGTTTGTCAGTAAGAACTCGCATGGTACTCTCTCTTTGAGGCTGTGAGACAGCTATTATTAACACCTACATTTAGAGTTTTACATTTCATAGCTCTGAGGTTTAACTCTGTTTAACACTCCTCTGAAAAAATTGTGAAAAGACAGAACTCTGACCTGTGCTCCCTCGAAGAGGTAAGCTGCAGTGCAGAAAATGTGGACAGTAAAAAAAGTGAGTGGATTTCCTGCTAGCAAGTCAAACACTGGCAGGTACCTTACATGGAAACTGGATCTGACCAGGCCACAAATCCAAAGTGCAACTCCAACCTCCTCATGGTGCAACCCAGGTACTTAGTTACATAAACCAAAAAACCAACAAAATGAGTAAGATGGAATCTGCTCATAACCTCGATCCTACCTCAACCTTGGCATTGGAAAAAAAGAGATGATAATGATGAGAGTTATACGTAATATTATCTCATCACCCATTGCACATGCAAGCAGTATTGCTAAGTCATCATGGAACCACATTCAGCCTGGTTTCACTAGCAATAAGTGGTGCAGCAGCCAGGCCTCTTTCTCCAGTTCCACTAATCATATTACATGCACTATCAGAAGTCTGAGTGGCCTTCAAGCCCAGCCCTGTGCACAGCATAATAAAATAATTAAACCTGACAGTGACAAAGGCCTGGACAACTGCAGCAATTTGCATGTCAGAAAAAAAGGGGTGCACCCACCCAGCCAAATCTCAAAGGTACAGTGTTCATGGCTTCTCCTGTATGCTGGAATCCAGTAGCAGTTGAAGATCCAACAGGATCTCCATTCTGCAAACCTGCTCACAAAAGTCTGCATATTCCCCATCCTTTAATCAAGGGAGCAAACCATATCTCCCTCCCTGGATAGTTCCCTCCAGCATATTCCCCATCCTTTAATCAAGGGAGCAAACCATATCTCCCTCCCTGGATAGTTCCCTCCAGCCACTGTTACTACCTCTTTCATCCTGATTGAAGCCCAGCCAATTCATTCCCATCCATGGCCCTATTATTTTAGCTGGGCACTGAAACCATAAAAACAAAGACTTTACCAGAAGCCTGTATTGTCTCACTGTCTCCCCTAGCTGCCTCAGAGTACCTTGAACAGGATGGGGAACAGTATAAAACTCAGCAGTGTAACACACAAGCAAGCACACCATGATGAACTGTAACATCAAAACACTGCGCCCATCCTGAAAGACATTTAACACCACCTTAAAGTCCTTTGCAGTGTAGTTGTAGCCATGTTGGTCTCAGAATATTAGAGAAACCAGGTGAGTAAGGTAAACTCCTGTTGGTGAAAGAAACTACCTTCATGCCCTGTAAGCCCTGCTTGCTGGATGCAAGAGAGCTCCATAAAAATCAGAAGTGTGCCACAATTATCAGGGCAATTGGCGAGCAGCTTGTGCATGAAGAACTAACAGTTACTCCACTAACGTGTGCAATTTCACCGCTCTCTCTCTCTCCAATGAAAAAGTCAGTGCCATATTCATAAAGACCACAGAAGCTGCAAACAGAATGTGCACACCCCACTCCTTCTATTAGGAGTAAGAGATTTCCCATTTCCAAAAGGAAAAGAGAGAGAGCGAACAAAATCACAATGAAAACACAGTTAAAAGAGGAATGTCCACACATCACTGAATTCAGAAATATGGAAATAGATTTTCTTGAACTGTAGGACTTCTACCTGATCAAGGTACATGCAGGAATGTGGCTAGAACGCCTATGTAATAATGGCATAGCAGGAATATTTACTACTCCCAGAGTGCACTAAATATCTCTAGGAAGCTACAGAACTTGAAAGACTAGGAAAAGAACAGAAGTGATAGCACCCAATGGAAGTTACCAAAACATTTCTCACTATAGTAAGAGATACCTAAAAGAAGCTTGCTCTAAATGCTGAATTGTAAAACACTGGCAGAACTGAAAGACTACCAAATCCTGAGAGAGACAAGGTGGGTGAGATCATATCTTTCATTGAATCAGCTTCATAAACAAACTAGGGAAATACAACATAGATGGAGCTGCTATAAGGTGGATGCATAACTGGTTGGAAAATCATTCCTAGAGAGCAGTTATCAGTGGTTCACAGCCATGTTGGAAAGGCATAACGAGTGGGGTCCCACAGGGATAGGTTCTGAGTCTGAATATCTTCATCAATGATTTAGATAATTACATAGAGAGTACACTTATAAAGTTTGTTGACGATACCAAGCTGGAAGGGGTTGCAAGTGCTTTGGAGGATAGGATTAAAATTCAAAATCATCTGGACAAACTGGAGAAATGGTCTGAAGTAAATAAGATGAAATTCAATAAGGACAAATGCAAAGTACTCCACTTAGGAAGAAACAATCAGTTGCACAAATACAAAATGGGAACCGACTTCCTAGGAAGGAGTACTGCGGAAAGGGATCTGGGGGTCATACTCGATCACAAGCTAAATATGAGTCAACAGTGTAATGCTGTTGCAAAAAAAGCAAACATCATTCTCATCAGTATTAGCAGGAGTGTTGTAAGCAAGACACGAGAAGTAATTCTTCCACTCTACTCCATGCTGATTAGGCCTCAGCTGGAGTATTGTGTCCAGTTCCGGGTGCCACATTTTAGGAAAGAGGTGGACAAATTGGAGGAAGTCCAGAGAAGAGCAACAAAAATGATTAAAGGTCTAGAAACATGATCTATGAGGGAAGATTGAAAAAAATGGGGTTTGTTTAGTCTGGAGAAGAGAAGACTGAGAGGGGACATGATAACAGTTTTCAAGTACAGAAAAGATTGTTACAAGGAGGAGGGAGAAAAATTGTTCTTCTTAACCTCTGAGGATAGGACAAGAATCAATGGGCTTAAATTGGAGCAAGGGCGGTTTAGGTTGAACATTAGGAAAAACTTCCTAACTGTCAGGGTGGTTAAACACTGGAATAAATTGCCTAGGGAGGTTGTGGAAACTCCATCATTGGAATTTTTAAGAGCAGGTTGGACAAACACCCTGTCAGGGTTGGTCTAGATAATACTTAGTCCTGCCTTGAGTGCAGGGGACTGGACTAGATGACCTCTCAAGGTCCCTTTCAGTTCTATGATTCTATGATTCTATCAAAGAGACAAGTTTTCAAGCTACACAGAGCTGTTCTTCAGGTCTGGGAAAGGTCAACAACAGATATTACCTCACTCACCTCATCTCACTAATATCCTGGGACCAACACAGATGCAACACTGAAAATAACAAATACTCAATAACTGAAGACACTGTATTCAGATTTCTTAGCTGAAATAAAATAATATATTAGCAAGGGGTATATTAGGATTTAAATTCAACCAAGCAAAGAGAGACTATCATACTTCCCAAAGGGCACCTCTTGGGAGTCAGAGATGCTTGGAGAGGTTACTTATCTGAACCTTAAATAGGTCTGAGTTCAGTTTAGGGGAATTGGTATTATGTTTGGATCCAGTGTTTTGTAATCTGGAATAACCTATTCACCGAGAAGCCCAGGATTTGAACAATACGAGAGTGACAGTTAAAGCCTTAGCTGAGTGAGAAAGCTGACATAATACATGCCTGTCAATTTGGATACCACCACCGCCCTCCTTCCCCACCACCACACACATTTTTATGAGCAAAAAAGATGAAAGATTCACATATTCATTCCTTCTTTTAAAAAAAAATTACTTAGGGCTATTGCTACAGCAGATTAAATCCCATTGTTTATATAGCACCATAAATCCATATACCGTTATGAGACTGGCACATTTTTCTCTGAGAAACTGAAATTGGTTTAGCAGTTTCTGTTTACTTCACTATCAAATACTCATCTTCACATACATCAGTCATATTTCAGTGAAGTAACCAAAACAAGGCTCTCACACTCACTTCTGATGCAGCTGAGAGATAATCAGTGGGATCTTTTACAAAGTAGAAATACATTCATTTAAAAAAAATATTTCAGAATAATCCATTTCCTTTGTTTAACCAAAGGAAAAAAGGAAGTAGCACATCTCTTTTAAGCAGACCTTTATAGAACAGAGCAGTTACATGCCAATGTGAACAGTTTCTTTTATAAGTATAATTACTGATCATTTGAAAGGAAGTGAAAATTCAATACCATAATAGTCATTCAGCAAAGACAAGAAAGCATCCAATTTAGGAGGAAAGGATTAAAAGTTACATACCCACCAGCTAAGAATTCCTGTGACCAGCCACACACTTGCCCTGCCAACTCCTATACATCTCAAAATGGAGAGGAAATTCTTACTCAAATTAGTTGCAATGCTGAAGTTGCCCAAGAGGAAACTGGTGCGTCTCTGAAAAGTCATGACTATGCAAACTAAAGGTGGTAAATCGGTTGACATAGCAACTGCTGAACGCCATGCCAACCAGGATCATGCTAGTTGGGCCTGCAAAATTGGGGTGGCTATTTCATGAACAAGTTCTCTCATGGTATTCCTGCACATCTAGTCCTGTAATCCAAAAGTGTAGAATGAAACAACGGGGCAAAAATTAAATGAAACTTTACAATCGTCTTAGTTTAGATTTGGGGCTTTCAGTGCTAGTGGTTCCATATTACTGTGGTTAGCTTCTTCTTGGGTTTGTTTTACGGCACAGCACATTTATTGTTTTGACTACTGGTGTCATTGACACTATTGATGTCATTTGTAGACCATTCAAAAGACAAATTAAATCTGGGTTTGCTTTGATCTGGCCAGAAAGACCATATTACAGATTATTGCGCTTATTGGCAATGGAGCAGAGGCCCAGGATTTAATGACCACAGAAAATGAATGACTCATTTCACACTCTAGTGGCAGTCATTCTAAAGCCTCAACCATACTGGGGAGATATTGTACCACTTTAAATATATTGGCATTGTTAAAGCAGTACAGCTACTCACCTCCATGGGGACACTGGTAGATTGGCATAAAGGTGCTAGGATAATTAATCCTGTATGGGAAGGGGAATAACTACAGCAGTGTAAGGTACCTTTACACCATTACAATTCATCTGTACTAGGGTTTGTACTGGTATAACAACTTTATCGGTAGAAAGTCACACTCCTAACCAACGTGGATATATGGTATAACTTCCAAGTGCAGACTAGGCCTATGCTAGACCTATGTTAAGACTAGGCTTATGCCAAGGTTGAGACAGGTTAATAAGGCAAAAGTTTACACTGCTGCTGCCCATGTCAGATTTTCTTTAAATAGAGGACTTCTGCTCTTAGCAAATATCTCCAACAGCCAGAGATGGGAAAGTAGACATGGAGGGCTCTGAGTTACTACAGAGAATTCTTTCCCAGGTGTCTGGCTGGTGGATCTTGCCCACATGCTCAGGGTCTAACTGATCACCACATTTGGGGTCAGGAAGGAATTTTCCCCCAGGTCAGATTAGCAGAGACATTCGGGTTTTTTCACCTTCCTCTGCAGTGTGGGCATCTTCACTTGCTGGTTTGACCTAGAGCAAATGGTATAACTTGAAGACTTTAAATTAAGATCTGTGGATGTCAATAACTCAGACAGAGATTATGGGTCTATTATAAGAGTGACTGGGGAGGTTCTGTGGCCTGCGATGCGCAGGTCAGACTAAGTGAGCATGATTGTCCATTCTGGCCTTAAAGTCTACACGCCTGTATGTAAATTCAGCACCAAGGTTACTTTTTTTAAACAGAGTAAAAATATGTTTTATTATTAAATATTTAGTTGTTCTTGTGCCACATCTCCATGATGGATGAAGTCATCTGTGTTTGGAAGTTTGTACTGTTTATAAAGCACCACTGGAATTTTCTGAATGGGAATGTGCTAGTTAAGCATTATTAGGTACTAATATTTTTTAATCAGAAGCAGTTGTACAGTACAGACCCGTTTATGTGCGAATCTGCTTACCGCGCAGTAGCGCCATGCCTCCTATTGCTACCTATTTAACACGCGAGGCTCGTTAACATGGGGTACAGGAACTTGCTATGTAGCGCTACAGATTTGCTCACTAACTCACTGACATAGAAATCGACAGGAAGTGCGGAGCGGAAACGTGTTGTACATCTTTACCGATATTGGTAAAGACGTATCATGCACGCTTAGTCATAGTCACGCTAGAGAGAGAGGTAACATATAGTAGTTATATAGTTATGTATGTGTGTATATATAGTTATTGTCATAAATATAAAGGGAAGGGTAAACCCCTTTGAAATCCCTCCTGGCCAGGGGAAAGCTCCTCTCACCTGTAAAGGGTTAAGAAGCTAAAGGTAACCTCGCTGGCACCTGACCAAAATGACCAATGAGGAGACAAGATACTTTCAAAAGCTGGGAGGAGGGAGACAAACAAAGGGTTTGTGTCTGTCTGTGTGCTGCTCTTGCCAGAGACAGAACAGGAATGGAGTCTTAGAACTTTTAGTAAGTAATCTAGCTAGGTATGTGTTAGATTATGATTTCTTTAAATGGCTGAGAAAAGAATTGTGCTGAATAGAATAACTATTTCTGTCTGTGTATCTTTTTTGTAACTTAAGGTTTTGCCTAGAGGGGTTCTCTATGTTTTTGAATCTAATTACCCTGTAAGATATCTACCATCCTGATTTTACAGGGGGGATTTCTTTATTTCTATTTACTGCTATTTTTATTAAAAGTCTTCTTGTAAAACACTGAATGCTTTTTCATTGTTCTCAGATCCAAGGGTTTGGGTCTGTGGTCACCTATGCGAATTGGTGAGGCTTTTTATCCAACATTTCCCAGGAAAGGGGGGTGCAAGTGTTGGGAGGATTGTTCATTGTTCTTCAGATCCAAGGGTCTGGGTCTGTAGTCACCTAGGCAAATTGGTGAGGCTTTTACCAAACCTTGTCCAGGAAGTGGGGTGCAAGGTTTTGGGTAGTATTTTGGGGGGAAGGACGCGTCCAAACAGCTCTTCCCCAGTAACCAGTATTAGTTTGGTGGTGGTAGCGGCCATTCCAAGGATAACGGGTGTAATATTTTGTACCTTGGGGAAGTTTTGACCTAAGCTGGTAAAGATAAGCTTAGGGGTTTTTTCATGCAGGTCCCCACATCTGTACCCTAGAGTTCAGAGTGGGGGAGGAACCTTGACATGGTGGCACAGTGGTGGGATTAACCTGAAATCATTTGAGATCCAGTTGAGATTTTTTTGAACTAGAAATACAGATTTTAAAAAGGAAATTTTTTTTTCTTTGGAAAGAAAGTCCAGAAAGCAGTTTTGAAACTGAAAGCAGCTTGGTTTCTCTCTGCTTTGTGGCCAAGCAGAGACAAAAGGGGATTATCTTGTGAATTGCAGGTTTTTTTGCCTGGAGGCAGGGTACTTAACTCCTGCAGGGAAATTCACAGTCTTCCAACCCATTGTTTTTTTTTTTTCTTTTCTTCCTAAAAGTAAATAGGGGGTGTGTGTTCTACCCATTTGCTTTTTCTTTGGGCTGGGTAAGCAGGTTTCCAAGCAGTTGGAGGTTTTTGCTTTAATTTGGGCCCAGAGCAGAGACAAGGGAATTGTCTTTTTCTGTAGGCTGACAATCACTATCAGAGAATAGGTATTCTATTGCAGCACAGCAAAATTTTACAGCCAAGTTTTGTTTGTTTATTTCTAAACCTCAGGTGTAAAGTTAGTTAAAAACAGAGAGGTTAGAATGACCAAATCCTCAGCTCAACTACAGCTGGAATTAGCCAAATTTCAGGCTGAGGAAAGACAAAGGGAACATGAAAGACAGATAGAACTCATGCGGCTGGAGAAGGAGGTACAGGAGGCTGCCCACAAGAGGGAAATGGAGGCAAGGAAGCATGTGGAGGAGGAGAAGGAAAAAGAGAGGAAGCATGTGGAGGAGGAGAAGGAAAAAGAGAGGAAGCATGTGGAGGAGGTGGAGAGGATAAAGGCCCAGCAGAATATACCAACAAACCCTAGCAATCCTTCTCCAGGTACCACTTCCCATCCCAGAAAGTTCCCCACCTACAAGGCAGGTGATGATACTGAGGCCTTCTTAGAAAACTTTGAAAGGGCCTGCCTTGGGTACAACATCTCTACTGACCAATACATGGTAGAGCTGAGGCCGCAGCTCAGTGGACCCTTAGCTGAGGTGGCAGCTGAAATGCCTAAAGAACACATGAACAAGTATGAACTGTTTAAATCCAAGGCGAGAGTCAGAATGGGGATAACACCCGAGCAGTCTCGTCGGAGGTTCAGAGCCCTAAGGTGGAAACCAGACATGTCATTTACCCGACATGCCTACCACATTGTGAAACATTGGGATGCCTGGATATCAGGAGCAAGTGTTGAATCTCCAGTAAATTTGCCCTTCCTAATGCAAATGGAACAATTCTTAGAGGGTGTTCCTGAGGAAATAGAAAGATACATCCTAGATGGGAAACCCAAAACTGTAATTGAGGCAGGAGAGATTGGAGCCAGATGGGTGGAGGTGGCAGAGAAGAAGAAAACTGGTCGCAGTTGGAGCGGAGACCAGAAGGGACCACCCCAGACCACACCCTATTACCGGGGGGCCGCCCAAAGCCCCACCTACCTCCCAAAGAACCCTCCAGACCCCTTATCGTCCCACCACCCCGTTCTCCAGCAACCCTCCTCGCCCCAGTGACCCGTCAGCTGGACGATGTTTTAAGTGTAACGAGCTGGGGCATGTAAAGGCCAACTGCCCCAAGAACCCCAACAGATTACAGTTCATTGCACCGGAATCACACCAGAGGTCCACAGGCCCAGATACCTCCCAGATACCCTTGGAGCGGAGGGAAACTGTGAGTGTGGGCGGGAAGAAGGTCACCGCGTGGAGGGACACCGGAGCACAAGTGTCAGCTATCCATGCTTCCTTAGTGGACCCCAATTTAATCAACCCAGAGATCCAAGTGACGATTCAACCCTTCAAGTCCAACTCTTTCAATTTGCCTACAGCCAAGTTGCCTGTCCAGTACAAGGGCTGGTCAGGAATGTGGACTTTGCAGTCTATGATGATTATCCCATCCCCATGCTGTTGGGAGAAGACTTGGCCAATCATGTGAAACAGGCCAAGAGGGTGGGAATGGTCACCCGCAGCCAGGCTAAACAAGCCGTGAGGCCTAGCTCTGTTCCGGAAACTTCTATCAGGACCCAGTCAGAGGTGATGGACCCGGACCCCAGGCCAATGTCTGCAACAGCAGTAGTGGATCCAGTCCCAGAGACCCAGACGGAACCAGTCCCAGAACCGGAACCAGCCGAACAACCAACACCAGACCCCGTGTCAGCACTGAATCCAGTACTTGCAACCTCAACAACAGAGGGCCCCACCGAACCTGAACTGGCAGCAGCCGATAACCCGACCCAAGAGGCTCAGCCGGAGCCTGAATCCCAACATAGTGCACCAGCGGAGAGCGGTTCACAGTCAACAGAAACAGCTCCATCCCCTATATCGCTTCCAGAGGGACCAAGCCTAGGTCCACAATCCCATGAGGAACTGATGTCTCCAGCATCAAGGGAACAGTTCCAGACCGAACAGGAAGCAGATGAAAGCCTCCAGAGAGCTTGGACGGCGGCACGGAGCAACCCACCGCCTCTCAGCTCTTCTAATCGATCCAGGTTTGTTATAGAAAGAGGACTTTTATACAAGGAGACTCTTTCTGGTGGACACCAGGAAGACTGGCATCCTCAGAGACAGTTGGTAGTTCCAACTAAATACCGGGCCAAGCTCTTGAGCTTAGCCCATGATCACCCTAGTGGCCATGCTGGGGTGAACAGGACCAAAGACGGTTTGGGGGGGTCATTCCACTGGGAGGGAATGGGCAAGGATGTTTCTACCTATGTCCAGTCTTGTGAGGTGTGCCAAAGAGTGGGAAAACCCCAAGACCAGGTCAAAGCCCCTCTACAACCCCTCCCCATCATTGAAGTTCCATTTCAGCGAGTAGCTGTGGATATTCTGGGTCCTTTTCCGAA